ACACACGTTTTGGTTTTTGGTTTTCTTTCAAGTTTAAATATGAAACAAATACATATTTATATATATACATGTTTGTTTTCATATGGTTAAGCTGTTTTGGTTTAGTTATGTAGATATGAAACAGATATATATTCATATACACATTTACTTGTTTCATATTCTATTGTATTTAGAAAAATATTAAGTTATTGGTTTATGGACTTAACAATCATTATATACATATTTTATTAAGTCTATAAAATTATTTTACAAAGTTTCAAACCTTGGTTTATGTTAAAACATCAAATTTCATGTCTATCAACTTTTCATGTTTTGGACATTTTTACAAAATGATGAGTTTTCACAAATGTAAAGTGCAATTTAAAAAATTCTTTTTGCAACATGTTTATTATCATGTTTATAAATATTTTCCAAAGTTTTATATTTTTTGAATTTATTTGCTATTTTTAAAGATACTTCAAAAATTAGTTTTACTATTCAAATTAGGCTGATACAGTGTTATCAGTCAACTGATGAATATGTTCGGATATTATGTTATCAGTCGACTGATGCAAGTGTTCGGTCGACTGAAGAAATCGTCTGGAATTACAAAAAATTTTTGTTTTTTATTTAGTCAATTGATCAGTCGACTGATGAGATCTTCAATCGACTGATATGCTGTGAGTTGCCTGTAACGGACAGCTCATCAGTCGACTATATTTTAGTTTTCCTTATTTTATCTTTTTGCTTAGTTTTTCTTGATTTTTGGGCTTTGTCTTATGATCCTATATATACCCATTGCCCTCTAACATTTTGAGGTAATTATGAAGTATTTAAAACAAGTTTACAAGAGTTTAAAGTTTGTTTAAAAGTTTGTTTGAGTTTCAAGTTTGTGAAAAAATTTTCACAAGAGCTACAAGAGATCATCTTTTGGTGTTTGAGCTTCAACTCATCTCTCTCTCTCTCTTGTCATCATAGAGAAGTTTTCCTAAACTCATTCTAGCTATTTATTCTCTCTCTCTCTCTCTCTCTCTCTCTCTCTCTCTCTCTCTCTTGATCTATAGAGAAGTTTTCCTTAAACTCAATTCTAGCTATTTATTATTTTGATCTTAATTTCCATAAGTTAGATTTCATATTGAGTTTAGTTGTATTTATTGATACTCTTTGTTACACACACCCACATTGAGCTTTTAGTATTTTTATACATAGTATATTTAGGGTTGTGAGATTGTAACATTGAGTTGGGCTTCATTGAGTTCTCATCCATTGTAGAGAACAAATTATTTGTATTTGAGCTTTCATTTGTGAGGTCACATTGTATTGCACAAGTACACCAAGAGGAGTGTAGAGGTGAGATATGTGATCGGTCCCAAGAGGAGTGGGGTCGGTGGTAATGCCTAGAGGTAGGTTGTAATTCCGAGCACTTGAGGGAGACACGTGATAGGCCAACACTTGAGGTAGGATTTGTGTAGTTGCATTATGAGTGATTGTGAACGTTGATCGGTGAGTGTTGAAAACCGACGTTGTGATGTGTAAACGTTATTCAGGTGAGCGTCGAAAACATGGGTGTGATAGTGGATTTCTCCCCGAGAGTGGGGAGCGGAGATGTAGGACGGAAGGTCCGAACTCCGTGATCATTTCTTGTGTGTTTGAGTTTGGCTTGTACGCTTATATTTTGTTTATCTCTATTGTCTTTCTCTCATTGTCTAATTTATCTACTATATTGTTTGTATTTGTTTATAGTTTACTTACCCTTGTTTGTATATCCTTGCATATATATCTTGTTGCATATCTAATTTGCTAGGATATTAGTTAATTAGTTTTAATTAGCATTAAATCGGATTAGATTAGCATTAACCATATTCCCTCCTCCTCTATACGTTGCTTTCAAAATTGAATGCAAATCATGAATGAATTTGGAGGCTAAACCCTTGGGGGGGAAGGGGAAGACAATAGGATTGGATTGATCTTTTGAATACTGGGAGAAGATAACTTTACTGACAAAGGAGTTTTTATCCATGATTTTCCAAATCCACTTAGATAGGAGTGCTATGTTAAAGGAAGAAATATCTTTGACCCCAATACCACCTTCTTTCTTTGCTTTACAGACAGTTCCCTAGTTAATAAGGCACTTAACCTTAGATGGTTGAATATGACCACTTCATAGGAAATTTCTTCTGATTCTGTCTATTGCTTTAATGAGCCAAACAGGTAATTTGAGGAAAGACATATAGTATAAGGGGAGAGGAGAGAACTGAGTTAAGCAATGTAAGTCTTCCACCACATGACCGTATCTTCAAAACATATAACGTCACACAAATCTAACTAATTTTAAACTAGTAATTAACCATAGTTTATTCTTGTCATATCACTAAGTCTCTACCACATGCGTTTAAAATGGTCTACGAAACGACATGCGATGGTCATGTGATGCATTAATATAAAATTCTTCATCAATTTCGAGCATTCATTCCTTACTGCTAGTGGAAGTTCAATATTAATACCATAATGCTGCTGGAGAAACTTAGAATATCTCCGCAAATGTGTCATACTAGAAGTACAACTTGGTAATTTAGCACTTTAGGAACTTAGCTCTTGCTGTATTCAGGAGCTTTTACCATGACATCGCATAGCACTTGCACCTTTTCATCATGTTATTTACCAAACTAAAGTTGACATTCTCAAGATCAGAGTGAGAGATATTCAGATGGCACAAAACAAAACCTTAAATTAGTTAGTTCTTGATGGGCTCATTTTATTTATTTCTACCTTTTATACATCAAGATTCTAGAGTTTCTTTCATGATATCATAGATTCATAGATTTGTTTTATGTATATATATATATATATATATATATATATATATATATATATATATATATATACACACACACACACACACGCGCGCGCGCGCGCACACACACACGCGCGCGCGCATTTTGGTTTTTGGTTATCAAGTTTAAATATGAAACAAATACATATTTATATATATACATGTTTGTTTTCATATGG